GGGGGAACGGCTGGGGCGCTGGATTCTAGAGCGCAGGTGTGATGCGGGGGGCCCTGACGGTTGGGGGGCTATTCGGCTAATTTGACTTTCTTGGAGCTGGTGGTGGGGCGGAGTTCGGGCGAAGTTCTGAGGGGTGGGTGGAGCGGCGCGGGCGAGGCCCGGCCGCTGCGTGCCCACGCGTGCACGCCGGTGTGCGAGAGCAGGCGCGCGCGGGGGCAGCCACCCTCTTCCAGAGCGGGACGAGGGAGGAGGAGGAGTCTTTTTGGCTCTGTCCCCCACCTCCACGCGCATGTCCCGGCGGGGTTCTTGGGGAGCTGGGGTATGGACTTCATCACATCCACCCGGACAATGATGACATCATGGCTTTTCGTCCCCATGGCAACGAATGGCCTAGTCTGGAGTTGCGGTGACTTAACTGCGGGTCTGGACTAGAGGGTAGTGTGGACTGAGTTTCTCCAGCCAAGGGCAGGGTGAAAGTTTTGACAGAGCTGCGTCCTCTGGTGGAGATGGAAAGGAAGCAGCAGCAGCTAAAACTGCCCAGCGTGGCAGACTTGGGGGGAACCAGAGACAATTCTAAAATCATTTCAGGCTTGACACTGAATCTAACAATAATCGATCCAGGTTTTGAATTTCCATTCCGTCTTTTACCTTCTAAAAGCACATCTTTAAATCAAGGGCACTCGATTTAATTTTACCTTTACCCAGAGCACTCAACACTCAACACCATTTTACAGGTGAGAAAACTGAGGCCTAAGGCTGTCGCAGCTAAAGGCAAATGGGAAGTTTTAAAGACTCGATCTTCTGCTCTAAGTTTGCCACACGGAAAGAGGTCTGATTTTTGCCCCTGGCTCACCTGTGGGTAGAGATTAAGCTTGAGGAACAACCTGGGTGCATTGCAGTTAACAGGTGGCCGGCTCCCCCAAACCTGACGCAAACCCAGCTTTTGGGATCGTTCTTTAGACTGTCTCTTAATATGCTTTTAAAATTTGCATTAGGCATACTGTGAAGTCGTGGCTAAATTATACCACGGCTTGTACCACTCGGGAATGCCCTCGCACGCGTCGGCTCCCAGGTTTTCCTGGTCTCCCCGTTGGGGCTCCGGCCGCAGCCCCACTTCGGCCCTGGCTCTTTAAGTGGGCGCCGGAGGCCCCGCCCCTGCTCGGCGCCCCGCCTCGCTCAAAGTCCGCAGTCTCGGCTCTTCCTGACGCGCGGCCCCGCCCTCCCCAGCTGTGCACTCGCAGTCCAGCTGTGCGCGCACGTCGGGATTCCCAGCCATGTCCGCGGAGAGAGAGGCAGCGGAGGCCGCCACCGCGGTGGCAACGGCTGAGGCCGGGGCGGTCGAAGACGCCTCTTCGCAGCCCCCGAAAGCCGAGGCAGCCGACGGCACCCCGCCGCCCCCGGCCTCGGAGGAGGT